CCTAGCTCGTAGACCCTTAAAACCTGCTAGGCGCAGGAAAGCGGCAAAGGGAATGCCTCCGCTGGGGTACTTTTCCACGTGTATCTGGTGAGAGACTGTCTGATCGGTACCCGTTGGCTTGCGCTCCACGGGGAAGGAGGGTTCAGGTGCCTTGTCCAGGTACGTCCTCCAGTACTCGGCGGCCTCCTTTCCATTGATAATCTTCTGTTGATGCTTGATGAACTGGGAGAACTTGCATGGCGTGGAGCTGTTACTCAGCCCCTCGTAAGTTGTATGCAGTTGCTTGAAGATGAGTGGTAGCGACCAGCCGTCGTAGACCGAATGGTGAGCATGCCAGACCAAGTATATCTTCCCTGACGCCGCGTCTTCCACAGTTGCTACTCTTGTCAATGGAGTGGCATTCCCTACGGCCATTCTTTTGTTCTCTTGCAAATAGACTTCAAGGCTTGAGGAAGAGCCCCAGTGCATGTGCTCGCGGAGGACTACTTGCATTGTTCGCGAGGGCTGGCTACGCACGAATTGTACCATTCTCGTGCGAATGACCGGGATCTGCGTGGCGGTCGTTTCCCATGCCGCCCGGAGACGTTGTATATCAATATTGGCAGGAAGCGTAAGAACGTGTGCGACCACGTAGGCCTGTGGATGCTGGGATGACTGAATCAAGAAGCCATCTTGAAGCGGAGTAGTTGGGTAAATATCTTCAATAAGATCTCCAGACACCCCACACGCCTCTGCTGCTTCAGCAATCATGTCGTCGGTGTGAGTACCCAGAAGTTCAAATGGCTCTGCCACTTGAGACGGGTCATCAGGCTGGTCCCCGATGAAAACTGCCATCTTCTTAAGTTCGGGGTTACGCAGCACTGAAGCCACCGTCAGGGACAGATGCTTCTTGCGTGCGGCGGACACCAGTCTCATCGCGTTGATTGAGTCTCCGCCGAGGCTGTAGAAATGGTCATTCACACCAATGCGGGACAATGGTACGTTCAAAACTTGGCTCCACAGCTGCTGCAGTACACTCTCCTTGTGGTTCTGCGGTTGTTGCTTCGCTTGCCCAGAAGTGTCCGCGCTCTCAAGTCTTTCGAGTGCCATGGAGGCACCGACAGCACGTAGCTCTTTCCGATTCAGCTTCCCAGAGGCTGCCATTCGAGGCAGCTGTTGCAGAAAGAAAATGGCAGACGGCACCATGTAGCCTGGGAGTCTGCTGGGCAATTGGGACTCAAGCTGGTCTTTGGCCGAGGAGCCAGAGTCGCCATCGCATTCGATGAAGAGGGCAAGTAACGGCTGATGATACCCTGTGCTGGGTGTGACAATCTCGGCTGCCACGGCCATGGATGGATCAAGAATGTCGGAGGCATGGTACTCGACCTCGGACAGCTCCAGACGTTGGCCTCGGATCTTTGCTTGAGTATCCTTACGACCAAGGATCCTGATTCCGCCGTCGGCTTCATAGCGAGCCAGGTCTCCAGTGCGATAGAAGCGGGTCAAATTGGGCGGTTGGTCGTGTCCTGGAGAGAAACATGGTCGGATGATAAAAGCTTCAGCGGTCTTGGTTTCCAAACCAAGGTAACCTCGAGCGACGCTGGCGCCCTCGAGCCACAGCTCACCCACGGCGCCAACAGGAGCGAGATGGGTTGAGTCGGTAGGATCGACAATCCACGTTTTGCAGCAAATGCTATGGCCGGTGCTTGAAGGCTCGGTGGAGGCTGTCATGGCCGGGTTCATGACAGCAAAAACGGCAGTCTCGGTAGGCCCATATCCATTGGTTAGGCGGGTTGCCGGAGCCCAGGTCAGCAAATTCTCACGACGGAGAGGCTCTCCACCCAGGATGACATGCTTCATACAAGGGATATCCGAGGGCTGTAGAAGGGAAATGGCGGTGGGGGTCATAAACATCAGATTGGCCTGGAAGTGGTTGATGGCGGCGGCCAGATCGTCCATGCGCTGCTCATCTGAAATCTGGCAGACACAGCCACCGACAGTCAGGGTACTCCATATTTCCATGATGCTTGCATCAAAGGTGTATGCGGCGAATTGGAGCGTGCGCGAGTGAGGTCCCATGGCAGTCACAGCCGTGTATCCGGCCGAGCTGGAGAGGACATGACGGTGTTCCATGACAATGCCTTTTGGGTGTCCAGTAGATCCCGAAGTGTAGAGTACATAGGCAACATTGGTAGGCAGTACGCCAGAGTCGACTGGCCGCACCGGAACCGGCAGCGACTCAAAGAGGGCAGGAGAGACGAGAAGCTGGGGAACATGGCCGTGGAGAAGAGGCTCGTGTTTGGGAGAGGTGAGGACAAGGCTGGCGTGGGCGTCTGCAAGTTGGTATCGTAGACGGGCGATGGGAGCATTGGGAGAAAGCGGAACAAAGGCGGCACCGGCATTGAGGACGGCGAGCATGGCAACAATGGCCCACATGGACTTTTCCATGAGGACAGGCACCATGTCGTCCGGCCCGACCCGGAACCGGCTCCTCAGGTGGGCGGCCAGTTGGGATGCTGCCTGCTGCAGCTGGCCATAGGTGAGGCGGCCATCCCAAGCGTCGACTGCGATGCGATGGGGATGCTGGCTGGCGTTGTGGGCGATGATGGAATGGATGCAGGCATCCCAGGATGCACGCGGCAGACGATTCCAAGAGTCGATGGCCGCCGCATCTCTCGCACTGAGCACGTTCAGCCGGCCAAGGGGGACATGGGGAGCCCGTACCAGCCCATCGATGACGGCCGCGAAGGTGGCGGCGATGTTGGCGGCGTGTGGCGGTGCGACGCGAGAGGTGCGACACGCCAGCGAGAGCATCACGTGCCCGTGGCGGTAGGAGCAGCCGACCGCCACGGCGAACTCGGCCGAGTCAGTCTGGCGCAACTCGCGCACTGCCACACCACCACCGGTCACGTGTCTGCTGCTGCTGCTGCCTTGGCCGTCTCCGTCTCCGCCATCTCTGCCCCCTCCACCTCCTCCACCCCCTCCACCCTCTCCATCCTCTCCACCCCCTCCGCCGCCCTGCTGCCGCTGCACCGACAGCACCGTGTCGAACAGGCCATCCGATCCCGCGACCCCCAAAGCGTGCTGCAGCTCCACCAGCGGGCATGTTGTATACGGCAGCGCCTCCAGGCCCTCGGCTTGCACCTGCTCCACCAGCTGGGCGCCTGTCGCCTCGCCCGTCACGTGCGGCGCGCACACGGCTACAGTAGCCAACGCGCCCACCATGTCCTCGATGCCCGCCACCTCGATATCCCGTCCGCTGCAGAGATATCCAAAGCATGGCCGTTCGCTGCCCACGTACCGCCGCAGCACCACCGCCCACGCCGTCTTCACCAGGTCCGTCAGCGTCACGCCCTGGCCGCGGCAAAAGGCATCCAGTGACTCGGCCGTCGTCTGGACTGGCACCGCGACCTGGCGCACCTCGTCTGCGCCCTCGTATCCGTCGGCCAGCAAAGGCAGTGTGCACGCTTCCACCTCTGCGAGCCTTTTCTTCCAAAAGGCCAGCGCATCCGTCTGCTCGAGCCCCATGACGTGTGCCACGTACTCCCTGTACTGGTGCTGCGGTACACCAACCAAGAGCCCGTCGTAAGCACGCTCGAGGTCGCGCAGCAGCGGAGCAGATGAGCCACCGTCGATTAGCACGTGATTGATGTTGAGTCGAAGCACTGCTGTCGTCGGAGACGTCTGGTTCACTATCAGTCGATGCTCCGGTCGCCCTGTCGTCCACTTGGCCGCTGCTACATGTTCGACGCTGCAATCGACCACTTCAATGGCAGCCGGCACCTTCGAAATCACCACCTGGTCAAACGTGCCATCTTCCCGGCTGCTCTCCACAATGATTGTCCGCAGCGTTGCGTGCCGGTCGACTACGGCCTGCCACGCTGCAGTGAGCTTGCTAAGGTCGATGCTCTCTCCCTCCCTCGACCGTACCTCGTAGAAGAACTCAGAGTCGTACAGAGTCCCTCCCCTGATCCTGCTGAGCATGATGCCTTGCTGCAGTGGCGTGCATGGGTAAATGTCCTCTACCATTGAGGCGTCATCCGCCCCGATGCGTTGTAGCACCGAACGGACAAACTCCTGGGCTTTTGACGGTGTCACCTTTAGCAACCGATAGTTAGTAGCTAGCTTCCGACAGCCTGTCTTTTCAGCTACCGACAGTCGCCTCACTATCTCGTTGATCGCTCTCTCAGACGCTCGCATCCACTCAGCCAAGCGTTCTTGGTGCTTCATGCGACCGTTGAACACAATCGACAGCACCACCTCGCCGTGTCTGACGGTGCCAAAGACATCAATCACGCCAAACCGCCGCAGTGATGGACTCATGCCGTCGAGATTCAGGAAGTCAAAATCGGCCACCTCCTCGAAATACGCCCCTGCGCGTTCGAATTGCTGGTACATGCCCGCGTAGTTGAAGGTGATTTCCATGTCATGGTTGCGCTGCTGCTGTTGCTGCTGACGGCTGCCGATGAACTTCGAAGAGAAGTATGGGAATCCGTTGGCGACGATGCGCTCCCGAGCATCGCGAGTGTCGAGAAGGGTGCTCATAGGATCTTGCTGATCTGCTACGGACACAAGTATAGGCGTAATGGTGGTAAACCACGACACCGTCGTCGAGAGGTCGATGCTGTCATTCCAAGGCTCTCTCCCGTGCCCTTCGATGTAGACGGCAGGTACGTGTCGCTCCGGGAATGCCTGTTGAAAACCGTGAATCACACCGGCAAGCAACATGTCCGCAGCAGTCGCCCCGAGTTCCGGGTTCCCTACATCGCCCATCATGCGAGCTGTAACCTCCCTGCTGATGACAAGACTCTTCACGACGCTATCTCCCCAGACATTCATTCCCCCATCCAACCCCCAGAATCCGAGGTCTGGAATGGGCAGCTCATATGGCAGGCATGTTTCGCTGTTTGCAAGTTTCTTGACGTACTTCTCCTGCTCCTTCACCCATTTTTGGAAGGAGTACGGTGGCGAGAGCGTTGTCTTCTCAGATCTAAGAATCTGCTCCGTCTGCAGCAACATCACTCGGAACGAGACAAAGTCCGTTACCAAATGATGACCGCTCACGAACAAGAATTCCTCACCATGCATCTTCATGAATTCAGCGCGAAGCAGGGGCCCATCTTCAATGTCAAGGCTCCTTTGGCTCCTGGAAATGATCGGCATCATTTCCTGTGGATTGGAGAGGTTGTGAACTCCCATGTCGAAGGAACCTTCGACGTCATCAGTGATGCTTTGGAACCATCGGCCGTTCCTGTCCTTGAAAAACCGCGCCCGCAACATTCCATGTCGAGCTACGACGGTTTTAAGCGCTGACATAAGTGCTTCCGGTTTCACCTTGTTAGTGACGCGCAGCAAGTAGCTGATGTTGTAATGGCTCTCGCCATTGGGAGAGATATCGAAGAAGAGCTGCTGTATAGGTGAGAGCTTGAAGGGAGTATCAAGCTCTTCTTCGTATCCTTCCCCAGCATCCGCTAAGCTCTGAGTCTGCAACGACGCCTCCTGCGCCAGGGCAGCTGCCATTCGCTCGATGGTCTTCTCCCGAAGGATGAGCTGGACGGAAAGCTTGAAGCCGATACTTGGTCCCTGAGAGACAACTTGCATTGCAGAAATGGAGTCACCGCCAAGGCTCTGAAACGTCTTCTCCAGCCCTATGGCATCCTCCGGAAGGTTTAACACGTTGCTCCATACGCTACGTAATGCAGCTTCTATCATGTTTGCTCTTCGTTCGGCTGCCGTCGGTCGAGTGTCCGCAAGCCTTGTTGCACCAAGAGACTGGAGCCTCTTTCGGTCAATTTTGCCGTTGAGAGTGATGGGGATACTGCGAATAGCAAAATAAACAGTTGGTATCATGAAACTTGGTAGCTCTCTCTTAGCCAGCTTCTCCACTTCTGACATTCTAGCTTCAACTCGACTTTGAGCTTCCGATTCGTCTGCGCCGTAATCACTAGATGTTATAAATGCGACAAGAATCGACTTATCCGGCGTTGGTTTTACTAATTCCACCACGACATGTTCCCCCGAGTTCAGGTACTGCTGAAACTTGTGTTCAATCTCGCCAAGTTCTGTCCGTTGGCCATTTACTTTAACTTGGAAATCTTTACGTCCCATGAAGATGAGAGATCCTTCCTGGTCGCGGTAGCAAAGATCACCGGTTTTATAGAAAGCATGGGGTCCCTGCTCCTGTGGGAATAGCTCTTGGTGCCACGCAGGTCTGTTGATGAAGGCTGCCGCAGTTTTTTCAGCCTCATCGAGATAGCCCCGTCCAACGTGCGGTCCCTCGACGAGCAGCTCGCCAACCTCGCCGTTCGTCATCAGCTGCTGGTCGTCATCCGGGCCAACCACCCAGGACCGGCCTAAGAACGGCTTCCCGATGCTTCTGTAATCGCTTGAGACTGTCATAGGCTCCGTGCAGGTGCACGCAATCGTTGTTTCCGATGGGCCGTACATGACGATCATTTCGACCTTGTCCGCCCACTGCTCCAGAAGTACCGCCTTCATTGCTTCGCCACCGCTGACCAGCGTTTTCAGCGTAGGGATGCCGTCGACAGGGAGCAACTTGATAACAGAGGGCGTCAGGATGGCCCAATTGACGCGCAGCTCGTTGGCGGCCCGAACCAGCGCAGCGCTGTCGAGGCGCTCGGACTCAGATATCACGCAAACTGTTCCGCCAGCTACCAGCGTTCCCAGGATCTCCAGGATTGACGCGTCGAAGCTGTAAGATGCAAACTGCAGGCACCTCATCTCCTTGCTGAAGCGAGCGGGGCCAGTCCAGCCGTTGAAGCAGTGATGGAAGGAACGGTGCTCGATCAATACACCCTTCGGTTGCCCCGTGCTGCCTGAGGTAAACACGGCGTAAACGAGATTTGACGGTTGGACCATTTCGTTCTCGGCGGACGTAAGATACATAGCTGAGGGCGATAACTCCGCCAGAGAATTCTTATCCAATGTGATGGTAGTTTTCAGGAGCAGAGTAAACCTTTGGTAGTGACTTGCTGAGGTAATCGCGACCGCTGCATTTGTCTTGTGGGCAATGACGCGAATTCTCTCGTCTGGATACGATGGATCCAATAGAACGAACGCGGCCCCTGCCTTCAAAACGGCGAGGATGGCAACGACTGCCAATTGTTCCTATTAGTATGCTATGCAGACATCACATTAAATCATTTGTAGTACGCACTGGTCCAAATTGACTTCTCGAAGCAAAGAAGCACGAATCGATCTGGTCCCGCTCCGTTTGCCCGTAGCTGGCCAGCAACTCGGTTGGCAGCTTCATCAAGCTCAGAGTATGACAGCGATTCTCTTTCGGATGACGCCACCGCCTCCTTGTTAGGACGTTCCCGAACATGATTACCGATTAGGTGGTGGACACAAGTCTCAGGAACACCATTATCGAGAGCAGCCATCCTAATTAAAATTGTCAGGGTACAGGTTTCTTCCAAAGAAGCTGGAATTTGAAAAAAAGCAGCAACAGACTGAAGTGTTCTGCTGTTGTTCTAGTCTTTAATGGAACAGACAAGTGTGACTAGCAGTAAATCATCAATCTTTGAAGTTGTTCGCAAGTATGCAAAAGAATAAGGAATTTAAGAGGCTGTAGCTCGTCTATATGTATTGATTCGTCGATTCAAATTTTGTTAACTTCACTGTGCACTTCAAATCCAGGACAACGCGGTGCTACTCAAGACGCGCTGCCCATCCACGGCCAAGCTGCCGGCAATTGTTACCGTATTCGCCCAGGTCGCATTAAGAAAATTGTCGTAGTCATAAGCCCTAGTTTAACTACCGGAATTGATTGACATCTTGCAGCTAGTAAATTAATAACGCTTTCCCCAGCTGCCTACCGGGCACTGTCAAGCATTGGAGTCTCTTCGGATGTAAATAAAGTTTGGAGTTCGCTCTGATTGTAGGTTGTACACGGGCCGTTTATTTGAGAACAATTACTCCACCACGGTTGTATACTGACTGAGAGACGGTAATTAGAGAACTATAAAATTTTAAGGCTGAATCATGTAGCTTCGCAGCTACAGTAACAAAAAAATTAGATTCAGCCTAGCAGAAACACGGTAAGAGTAGCTAAGCAGTCATTTAAGAGAACTGTGAACATATCCGACGAGAAACAGGACAGGGATAGCCACATGTTCGTTGCCGGGTAAGTTCCTGCCCAGGTGAAAATCACAGGAAGTAAGAAAGCCGATGACCGGTCTCACACAATCGTCAGCGCTAAAAAGGACTTAAACCTTATTACGATGCATCGAAACTGCAGAGTACAAGTCGGTAGCATGTACGGACTGCTAGCATTTTACAATATCTAGTCATTTCAACGCTAGTAGTATATTCATGGCCCCCCTTTTCCGACCACCCCTTGTATATAAATGACCGTTGGATACACTGCTATTTTCCGCTCACGCAAACAGAGCGCTGCCTCTTGTATCATCCACATGGAACAAGACGCGCACACCCTCGCCACCGCAGCTCTCACCAATCACTCAGGGCCACAAAGTCCTAGGGCGCATATGTTTCCAGTGACACCTCCAGAGGACTCTAACAAAGACATCAACATGCTCCGGGCTCTGAAAGCCCCATCTCTTGTGGCGAATGCGCGGATTGGGCACTCCCTTGAGAAGCTGTCGCAACCAGCTGCGAAGCTGAATTCGCAGACGGTACGTGAGATGCCGCCTTCTCTCAGCTGCTCCATCAACAAGACGAAGGTCGAATACAGGAGTTTAGGGAACAGCGGCTTGCGCGTTTCCAATCCTATTCTTGGCTGCATGCACTTTGGCAGTTCCAAGTGGCTTGACTGGGTGTTGGACGAAACGGATGCCGTAGCTCTTTTGAAGGAAGCATACGACCGGGGGATCAATACCGTGAGTCTCTAATTCCGTATGCGAAACAAGTCCGCAAGTTTGGCTAATCTGAAAAACAGTGGGATACGGCAAATGTTTACTCCAATGGACAGTCGGAGTGCGTTATTAAGGAAGCGCTGAAGATCCATCGGATTCCAAGACACAAGGTTGTCATTATGACCAAATGCTTCAGACCAGTGACAGATCCAGACGTCGACCCGAACATGGGAAGCATCATGGCAATGTTTGGCAGTGAAGCGCAAAGGAGCAAAGATTACGTGAACCAAAGCGGTAAGTACTGAGATCTTCGCGAATGTTTCCAAATTTTCTGACAGGGCCATTTCTTCAAGGTCTCTCTAGGGCCGCTATCTTCAAACAAGTGGAAGACTCGTTGAAGCGCTTAGATACAGACTATATCGACGTGTTGCAGATCCACCGTTTCGACCACAGTGTTCCACCAGAGGAGACGATGAAGGCGCTGCACGACCTCATTCAGGCCAACAAGGTGCGGTACATTGGCGCTTCTTCAATGTGGGCACACGAGCTAGCCATTCTTCAACATGTGGCTGAGAGAAACGGCTGGACGAAATTCATCTCCATGCAAAACCACTACAACCTGCTGTACAGGGAAGAGGAGCGCGAGATGGTCAAGTTCTGCCGTATGTCAGGAGTGGGCCTCATTCCGGTAAGTCATGACCTCCTCACTCTCTCCGTATGTCTATACATACCAATACGACGTCGATCTTGCTGGAAAAGCGGACAAAGCTAATCTTCGTTGCGGGAATATAGTGGAGTCCGCTGGCGTCTGGGAGACTCGCGCGCCCCCTGCGGCGCGGCAGCTGCGACGGCGCCGCAGTGGCTGCTACTACCCGCTCCGCGCAAGGCCCAATATATGAGGACGATAACATGGCGGAGAGCGAGGAGATCCTCCGACGGGCGCAATGTGTAGCCGACGCGCGCGGCTGGCCCATGAGCCATGTCGCCCTGGCCTGGCTCAACAAGCGAGTCACGGCTCCCATCATTGGCTTGTCAAGCGCGGCGCGCATGGACGAGGCGCTGGGTGCGCGCGGCAAGGTCTTGAGCGAGATGGAAGAGCAGTACTTGGAGGAGCCATATAGACCGCAGCGCGTACAGGGGCATACTTAAGTCGATCCTGTCCAGAGTTCTGATTTAATCAGCGCGCTAGTCCTCTGAATCGCTGGTGAGATTTATCTCCCCCGTTTCTTTAGATACATAAAAGAGGACGAAGCCTTCGTCCTCTTTTACGTCACGAAGCAGACATGAGACGACGGGCGAGTGACGCCGACGACCAATGGAAGTCTCGAGCAATTACCATAAGCAGGGTTAGGGCGTTCCTTAGAAATCCGCTAGGATAACACGGTAGAGACTATCTAAATATATATTATCACAACTCTAACTCCCCTATACGGGCCTGGCGAAGCCTGAAAGTTTGCTAAAAGCACTGTAAAACTTAGCGCTATCTATCTATCTACCTTGTATAACTATATCTACTCTATCCTACTAGTTATTACTATATAAGATAAGTATTTTTTGCTATATATATGGTTTTAGTATCTCTATATAAATATAATCTATACTTAACTCTTATAGGTTTCTGTAACAATAGGGCAGAATTGCCTGCCTATTGTTCTATGCCAAGTTAGGCCTAATAAAGGCCCGACTTACTTATATATATAGAGAACAGCTCGCCTATAGTTAGGATAGGCATGTTCTTCTTGTCCTTTCGTACAAGACCTATAGGTGTAGGAATCTTATCCTTTTCTATACAGACGCGCACTCCTATATGCCTTTAAGTTATATAGGATACCTTTTAGATGCCCTACCTACCTAAGTTATTATATTATAAGAAGAATATTATCCTAGCTAGTAATAGTATTTAAGAATATCGCACTTATTATTATTTTAAGCTACTAATTTAGTTCTAGTAGCTATCTAACCCTATAACTCTATAGTTAGAATAGCTATTAGAACTTCTAATAACCAAAGCCTATAGGCTTAGACTTCTAGACCTATAAGTAGTGCTAGATTACCTTTAGAAAAATCGCGTTAGATTACGTTAAGGTAGAGACCTAGAGACTACTAAAAGCCTAGAGGAATTAGAGGCAAAGCTAATATCCTCCTATAACTAAACCCCCTAAAAAGAAAAGATTTATTATTCTTATTAACTACAAAATATTAAATAAAGGTAAAGGAAGGGTATCTAGTTTAGCTGCTTTTAAAAGCCTATTTACTAATAGAAAGAAATTAGATAAGGAAGACTTAATCGACAACGCCCTCCTAGAAGGACCCACTTCCTATCTGTCCCTTAAGGTACCTCGTGCTCCTAGTGTGCCGTGGTGAGGGATGTATAGGAGAAAAACAAGGCTTAGCCTAAAAGGTTAGGCAGATTGAATGGTATAAAGGCATAAAGGATTAGAGGATAGGAGAATAGCAACTCTTAGGGACTTTACTTTAACCTTACAATATTATCTTTTTACTTATGTTCCTGCATTAAACTATATCCTCTACTATAGCACCACTACTATTAAACCTTGCCCCTCCTACTTCTCCTTGTTTAAATAGGTTACTCTCCCTAACAGTTTAAATAGCGAAGCCTAAGGGGAACTTATCTTATCTTAGTAAAGGGGAGGGCCTAGTAGCATGCAACCAAGAGGACGTTTCTCTAAGAATAAGGAGGGTAGAGAAAAATTAAAAAATAGGTAGTGTTAATAATTAATATTGTTAAGGTAAAAATAGTAGGCCTATATTAGGACGTAGCAAACGCGCGTTAGTAGGAATAGAGTAATAATACTAAGAGGCTAACTAGAAAACATTAGAAACACTAGAACAACTAGAACAACTAGAACTAGAACAACTAGAACTAGAATAACTAGAACTAGAACAACTAGAATAACTAGAACTAGAACAACTAGAATAACTAGAACTAGAACAACTAGAATAACTAGAACTAGAACAACTAGAATAACTAGAACTAGAACAACTAGAATAACTAGAACTAGAACAACTAGAACTAGAATAACTAAAACTAGAATAACTAAAACTAGAACTATTAGAATAATTAGAACTATAAGAAGTATTAGTAATACTAGAAGTACTAGAATACCTAGAATATTGCTACTAATAGAAAAGCTACTACAAAGGCTATAGGGTGGTGTGCGCTGTTAGCAGGAAAATAGGGCTAGGCTAAAGTTACTAATATAACAAGAATCTACTAAAAACAAATATAAGTGCTAGCACTGTTTAGGAAGGGTGTTAGGGATATAGCTACTAAGGAGGAGGAGATAGTCTATAAAAGTAAGAGATAGGAAAGGGGGGAAGTAATATAAGTAAGTAGATACTAACTTATCTAATAATTTTAATTAATATTACTAGTTTATACACCTCCTTTAATATTTATAGAAGCCTACTACCTTAACTAAGCCTATCCTTTTTGCTAGGAATAATACCTAGAGAAAGTAATATTACCCTAGGGTTAACTAAAATAGAAACCTCTAGATCCCTAAGAAGAGTCCTTGTCCCTATAAGGCCTAGGAAAACTAACTTTTAGTTCTAGGGGAGGGAGGTTACAGAGTTCCTAGATAACTATAACTACTAGGCGGAAAATAGGGGGCTAGATAAAGTAGATTAGCTAAAAATTCTGCTAGACTTTTATAATACTATATGCAGAATATTTATAAAGAAGCTTAGACCTTACTAGAAGTAAGACTAGGAGGAGCTATAGGAAGCTATAAAGGAGTACTAGAGGGACTAGGATATAGCCTAAAGGATAGGTATCTAAACCTTCCTAGATACGTATATATAAGAAGCCTCTAGGAACTTCCTAGGTCTCTTAGACTACTATACTAATTTTGTAGTATATAGTAATGCCTGCCTAGTATCTAAATAGCTATATAAAAGCAAGGTTAGATTCTTCTTCTTTAGAGGGTTACCCTAGGTAGATAAAGAGCTAGTCTTGCTTAGTATGCTAGGAGGGCCTAATAGCGATAAGGTAGCAAGCTATAAGCTAGAGAAGATCTATACCTACGTTAAAAGAATCTATTAGCAAAGAGAAGGAATAAAATATATATTAGCTAGCTAAATAGAGGAAGATACTTAGCAGGCATATTAGATATTAGAATTAGCAAAAGCCACACCTATAAAGGAGGATATTATAGAGGCAGTAAAAGGCGTTAGAAAGGAGCAAGCTACTACCTAACTACTACTAAATATTAACCTAGAAATAGACTAGTTAATTAGGGCACTAGGAAAAATAAAGATAAGTTTAGCTAAGGCTAATAGGCTATAGGAACACTACGTAATAGGCCCGCTGCTAAAAAGCCTAGTAAACTAGCTCTACTTTATTTCACATATAACTAACGCTAGGATAGAGTAAGGAATATATTAGAATACTATAGTAATTAGGGGCTTATTAATAAACTAGCTAAGAACCTAGGGCCCTATATAAATGTTAACTACTTAGCTAGGGACATAGAGTTATAGGGGGTATAACAAGAAACTACCTACCTGTAATATATATAGATTAGAAACCTACCTAGCAAGGGACTACCCCCCCTAGCTAGAACTTATAGCGCTAGGGTAGGTAAGCACTTCCTAGAATCTAAAAATAAGGACTAGGATATTTTACTACAGACTATTATATAAAAGACTAGGGCAGGTTACTAAGCTAGCACTATAGAACCTTACTCTTTACTAGATAAAGAAAAAGTTGCGTGAATACTATAAGGTTACTAAGGATATCCTTAGCTAGCTAGCGTTATAGGTTAAGCTAGAACTATTTAATAGAATAGATTCAAGAGGCTAGTAGTAGAGGTAGACTTAAGGACTAGACTACCTAGCAGTAAAAAGAGCAGGAGCTAACGCAATATCTTCCTAGAATTAAGGATTAGAACTAGGAGATACTTAAAAAGAATATAAGCAGTTCTTAAACTATTAAATACTATAAACTAGTAAGAAAGACCTAGTAGTAATAACGCTAGATTATATAGACTTAAGATATATTATCCTAGGATTAGTAGACAAGAATATACCTAGGATCCACGCCTCTACAAGGGAGAAAGAAAAGCGAAGGGACTAAGTCTTAGAGGAAGTAAGGACAGGATTAATCTAGAAGCGCGGGCGAGGAAGACTAACACAAAACCTAGTAAACTAAGAAGAGGGGGCAAGTAAGGAGATAGAACTTAAAGAGACCCTAGAGATTCTATACCTAGCTTAGGCCTATATAGACCCCTTCGCGATAATCTAGCTACTAGATAATATAGGTAAAGGCTATACAAATTTAGGGCCTAACTAGGACCTACTAGTAATAAGAAGAAAAGTATAGTTTAAAGAAGTAAAGAATAAGGAGCTTAAGGGGATAATACGCCTAAGCCTAAACTAAATAATAGCTACTTTTCTTAGACAGGAAGTCTAGGGAATTATAGTAGCTAACCTACTAGGGCAAGATTATCTATAGGAATAAATTAAGATATTATTATAGGAACCCTAGACTTAAGTCCTACTAGATAATAACTTTAGCAGGGTAAACATAGTAGAGCTAGGGGGCCTAGAAAGTGCGCTAGTCCTAAATAGGTATCTAAAGGGTGCGCTAATTTTACCCTTTAGATATATTAACTAATTAGAGGAGCTAGAGGTAAAGGACCCTATGCTAGGTTAGCGCAATATACGCGCAATACTAGAAGTACTTAATACCTAAGTAAGGCTCTAATTTAGATAAAACTTAGATAGGTATAGAAAAGATTTAGTTATACAAGAAGAGAAAGACAAGTCTTACGCTAACTAGGAATTAAATTAGATAACTCTCTACGTAGAACTACTAACCTACTAGACTAGTATAAGGGGGAACGTAGTAAACTACCTAATTAATATAGGGGTATAAATAAATCTCTTAAGATTAAGTGCTACGCGGGCGTTACAGGTACCTATTAAGACACTAACCTAGACCCTAGAGTATATATAGGGGGTAGTCACAGCTAATAGCAGGATAGACCTATTTATTAGAACTGCGTAGAATGTGCTAGTATATATAGGGGAGGTAGAGACCCTAACTTATTTTAGGGTAATTATAAACCTAACCTACTTAGCTATATTAGGGGGGCTATAGTGTACCTCTACTAGGCTAGCTATTT